GCATTAAATGCTAGTTTTAAGCTAGAATGCCCCTTTAACCCCTTAGAATCTTAGGCTTATTACATACTAAGGCTTATTATTCAGTAACTACAGGGGCTCCAATGCAAACTGGTTGAGCTATTCTTAGGTTATGGAAGTGTGTAATAAAACTTGGGGCCTTTTAAGGGGTTAAATAAACTGAGGAGGACATCAGTATACAAAACATAAAAATGCAAGGTTAAATATGAAACTTCATACATATCAACTGTTTATTCAATAGGTCCAGAAAATACATTTGAAACATACATGAATGCATATAGGAACCAAGTCAACTTGTGCATACAAACAAAGTCCTAAAATAGAAGATTCAAAATATGAAAGACAAAAATATCTACTCCAGCAAGGCAGAAGTCAAACTATAAGCATGAAACCTCACCTACACAATCGAATGCCGTTTTAAAACAAACAACAAAATACAACGTGTCAGTCTGTTCAATTTATCTCTGGACAAGCCGTTTAGACGCATACCAACACAAATTGCTTTCAGATTTATACTGGATGAAGGCCTCAGAGAGTGCAAGCATTCCAACACTGACATTTCAACTAGTCTTACTACAAATCAGCCTACGAGGCTAAACTCCATCCTTAAACTGAACACATAAAGGTCTGAGTCAATTGATTTAATAGCCCCGCCGAAAAAGAAATCATTGTTTTTCATCAGTTTTCTGGTCAAAGCTCAGCATTCCAGTTGGTTTTGTTACAATTTTGAAAGATATTTTGGTACATCAATCCTTAATATCAGTGCTAAAAATAAGAAAATGAGAATTTTGACAATAGTGCTATTGGTATTAAGATAATTGTATTAATATTTCACTTTTTAAAGTCACAAAAACAAAGGTTCCAGTTCTGATATTGTTTTTTCAGTTGAAAAAAGTACAACACTTCCACTGGTTTGTCATCATTTATAAGCATCAGAAATGTTCTAAGCCAAAATCTGTCCAAAAGTATCCAGACACCTCGTCTAACTAGTGAATTCAGCTACTTTAAATCGCACCTATTGCTGATGCAGGCATTCAGTTGTGCACATTGAGCTTGTATAAACTACATAGAAAAGCATTGTCCAATAGAATGGGATGCTAAGGAGCAGCCATGCGTGTGCCTAAGGTCACTATGCTCAATGCCAAGGGTGGGCTAGAGGGATATCAAGCCCCCCAGTATAGGGATGTGGAGTGATGGAGCTCCATCCAACACCTTGTGTACCAGTAGGACCAATGCTTTTGTGGCTGAATGCAATCAAATTCTCACAGCAACATTTAGTGTAAGGTCTTTAGAGTAGAGTGGAGGCTGCTACTGCAGCAAAGGAGGACAAACTCTCAATTAATACCCTTGATTTCAGAAGAAAAGCTGGATGAGCAGCTTTGGACACATAGTGTATCTAATAGGCACTCAATGGTCAAGGCGTGTCCCTCAAAGTGCTGCCACTGTGAGATGGCATTAGGCTTTGGTACCTCATTGTGAAAGAAAAACAAGTTCCTACACGATTCCATCACCTCTTCACGTACCTCCACTTTGACTCCCCCTCTTAATGCTCTATTACCTCTGACTGTGTGAAACTCAATATTCATAATAAAATAGGCCTATTTACAGGAACTTCACCAAACTGTCACGTTTCACATAAAAGGCACGTTTCTTTTCTCCTTAATGTTTGACTAAAACATCTGTATAAATATTCACATCAACGCCGAAATGATACGGGATTCTATTACTTCCAGCAATCCAAACAGATCAGCCTTAGACGCTGTTCCAAAGGCTACAAGCGCAGCCATTTGTGGCATTGTTACGTAACTCTAACGAATATGACTGATTATGATTGTAACTCAGATATGATCAACATCATTTGGGTAATGATAGGGTGAGGAAGACTGACAAACAGTATTACAAGGCTTCAGCCACGAGCCGCTCTGCCGTGCTGATAGATGCTCCTCTCCGTGAACTCGAAGCGTTTTCTCTCAAGTGGTCTCGGTTTTATTATTAATAACGAGTTTCCCACCAGGATGCACCACATCAACACAAAGGGGGGGTGAGGTTTTGGCTAGTGAGTTGTACCCAGATAGATGTTAGGTTTCTCTGTAATGCTAATCCAGGTGGAGTAAGATCCAATTTCTACATCCTATAGATGTTTATGTATCAGCATCAGCAGATACGTCCATGGAAAATAACTGATATCAACATCGGCCTAGAATTCCCATGTCAGTGCAGTGCTGATCATCTTACTTCTTTCCAAACGAGGCTTCAGGTTCTATTTCTTTGTTTTATTACACAATTATTTTTCCACTTGGTTTTAGGGGGACACTCAAAGAAACAAAAAACAATTTATTTATGTCCTTGTCTTATTGCTTATGCACAAGTGCAGAGCTTGGCTGGTGCTGACCACCAAATGGAAGAGCCAATAAATGTTGCTAAGATAGTTAGAATTTGTGTTCCTAGTGTGGTTCAGTTATGTGAAATTCATGACTCGTCACTGGCTCAAATATTGGTGCTGGAAGAAAGTCCCTATGAAACAACAATGATGGAATCCTGGGCTGCTTTAACTCACAACTTTAACTGTGCATCCTCATTTTCCTTTTCTTCTTTTCCAGAAGAATTGACACTAAACATGTTTGCCCCTCATTCAGTTGTCACATGTTACTCTGAACTGCCCATATCAAACACTTATCTCTCATTATTGACCGACTTTTCACACGAGCTTGCCTTAATGAAATTTAAACATCAATGATTTAATTAATTGTCATCCAACTTTCACAGTACCCCCCCCATTAACTGTGATCATCTAATAAAAACACTGGGTGGCGGTTAATTTCCCAGTGATGGGCTGCAGGATGTAGGAGGGAGGAATCGAGGAGGCATCAGTTGGAGTTTTGAGATTCATCCTAGGAAACATACTTCCAGGGATACACCCCCCATGAGCACCCTTTGAAGTTGGCTGATGAAGCCAAGTACATAAGGATTTTTGGTGACACTTTACTTGAAACTTGCTGCAAACATAACATAATCATGCATAAACATGCCAAGACAGATGTCTTATGCCCCATGTGTCAAAACAAGGCCCACACAGGCCAAGTCAGGCCCATGACACAGTCCTATTCAGCCTGCGAAATTATTCTAATTTTCTATTCCTATAAGCTCGTTTCACCCTGAGATGCACTACAATCCCCAGCATGCACTGCAACATAGCGTGCGTTCTGACCCCCTTCCTCCAACGACCATCTCTGGGCCAGCGGTTACACAAAAAGAAAATATGCCTGGTGTCTAGTTTAAGCAAATAGGCAGTTTTAAAAATACTACTAAAACAATTTATTTTTATTCAGAAGCATTTTTGGATAAGTATTCAGTGCCTATTTTGCTGTTGCAGTTTCAGCATATTTTGAATAAACAATCGTGGCAAAATGTTAAATAAAAATGAAATAAAAACACAACTGGCCCACGGATTTGCTGAGATTTCTCTGTCTTATGCTGTCATGACAGATTATATCCAGTAATATAACAGTGTCATGTTAAAATGAATTGTCATGGCAGCTGTCATAATGTTTGATGTCATGACAGCCAACTAGAGTGCACTTAGCACAATTCAGCATATGACATAAGCTGTCATGACATCAATCTGCAATGACCAATTCCAGTAACATTAATGTGACACTGTAATATTACAAAGACTAAAGACAGCATATGACATCTATGATATGTTTATGGCATATTAATAGTACTGTTATGAAGCAGGGTTCAAATAAAATGTTACTGAATTTTCACATTAGCATAAATTTGAAATCCAAAGAAGTAAACAGACCATCAGTGCTAATGAAATAAGATTGTAGAAATGGTCAATGAAATGAAACGGCAAAGCAATTATTATTTAAATATATACAATTAACCCACATTTTATTTAATCTGCTACATTTGTGTTTAACCTTTGTGTGGTGGTGATGTTTTTGTTACTCAGTGGTCTGGTGCACCCACCACATTATTGTTTGTTTAAATCAATATAGACATAACAATTAATGTAAAAATAACAGATGTTTTCACAAGTGGTCAGCGTAAGGTTCTCCTTTAGCAGCTGTAGCCAGTCAGCTACATGGCTGTCCATGTTGTCCACCCTCACACACACACACACACACACACACACACACACACACACACATATATACAAACACATACACACAGACACACACACACTAACAGCAGGCCATGTAGGAGGAAAACAGAGTGAAGGACACAGCACCTCCACACTTTTATTCCCCGCGTGTTCACCCCAACACCACATGTAATATAAATGTGTAGGAGGTGAACAGTGTGAAGGCATTGGAAATGTGTTATTTTATATGTTCTTTACAAAAAATGGTAAACATTGAAAATGGGTCCCACAGACCCCAACACCACACAAGCGTTGAAAAACACTCATAAAACAAGCCAAAACTGATTCTAGCTGATTACTAACTAAAAAACTACAACAACCATTTCCTGTTTTTGTTTTCTTCCAGCATGAACCACATGAACACAGCCAAGTGAGCTGAACAATTCCCTCCTCACAGAAAGTTAACATCTGATTTACACTTGAAAGCAGATTGCACGATCCAGCTCGAGCCACGGGAGACCGTATTCAGGCCATAAATCTCAGGGCGGTCAAATATTTACAAACACACTCAGATGAAAAGGTCTCGCACGGGCCCTGTCGGAACTGTTTTAATCGCTTCCCCATGAACTCTTACCTACATGCTTAGAAGAGAGAGGGTCTGGCTTGTCTCTCTGACAGAGCCTGCAAATGGCCACTTGCGAAACTCATCTGCGAGGCCCCAGATGGATCACTGTGCTGGCGGAAATGGGGGGATAATGTTTTGGCTCTGCTGAGGATCTCCCCCTCTCACTATAGATCTTTAAAACAGTTAGCATTACTGCAGTAATTGATTTGTACAGTCCTGACTATCCTCTGACTCATTACTGCTTTAGATCATATGCAATCCTCCTGCTTTGATGGTTCATATATGTGTCTGAGCTGCATCTGTCATTGATGTGAATACACTTCAGAGCTCTAAAAGGAAATGTATACATTTATTTTATAATTAAGTTAGCTCCAGCTGTCAAACTACCCACACTGGTGATGAGCACAGAGATATGCGCATGCAGAGTGAAGCGTGATCCGCATGATTCCAGTCTGACCTCATTAGTCACATAGCAACATATCAAATATGTATCTAATCTAGGAATACTTATTCAAATCTGATTTGAAAAAGACGACAGTTTTGTGTTGACACAGCTCTGAATCTTTTATAGGAAAAAAGTTCTGTAGTCTGAACAGCAAGAATATTAGAGCTGGGACCACTTAGCTATTTATCGCTAATTATAAAAAGTGGCCATAAAATCGATAAGAATTTATTGTTTTTGAGTTTCCATTTTTGTATACATGAGCTTTCTGATCCAATCTGAAACTTCAGTCAGGGAAAACACTATCACTAAACACTGTAGTTTAATGCTAAGTCACTGTGAGGTCTTTTCACACAGATGTGCATTTATGCATTTAATGTGCTAAAACCTTCACATCAAGTTTGATGCACTTTTTTATTAAACACTAAAAGCTTGAAGAAGACAGAGGAAGAAAAAATTGATTCATTGAATTGCAATGTGATAAATGTATGTTTCTTTTATCCAGTGCGACTGAAAGATACTGGATAACACACTGGATAGCAGCCCATTCTGCTAAAATTCCAACAAACGGTACAAGAAGATCCACCACACTGAACTCAACCTCTACTGTGTGTGTGGTGGACCTCGAGGCTCTGCTGCAGATCGGACCTCTGTGCATTAAATAGAATAAAAAAACTACAAGAGCAACTATGAGTTCTGACGTGAAAGATGGCATTTGCATTAATGTTAACATTTTCAAAACTTGACGTGCGTTTTTGAGTTGTAGTGAGGATTTAGTCACTCGTTTTTGGTGATCGGATCACGTTCAGATTTTACATGGCTGCATGAAAAGCCAGGCATAAACACTCCCAGGACGCATTGCGATCTAATTAGGATCAGGTCATTCAAACCACATTTGGAGGAGGTCAGAGGCGGATCGTGACCACATTGAACACTAGTGTAAACGGAATGCGTTTTCAATAACCACTGCATAAACAGCAATGTGTCTGCCAAGTGAGAGGATAAACAAGGAAATACAAGATGGAGAATACATGAGGCTGGAGTTCTACCGAAACCAAGAGCCTTCTCTCTTCACCACTGGCAGATAAAAGCATCTAAGCCAAGTTTGGCAATTGATACAGTAACAGAAAAGTAAAACGGAAACAACATAACATTTTTAAGCAGGATGGTAAAATCACATCTCATCTGGTCCAACTGGGGATGCATTTTAGTGAAGTGTAAATACCAAAGTTTCTCCAGATATGATCCGTACATGAGACACATATTAATGCATGGTTTAAACAGACTCAGCGTCTAAAAGTCAGATTAAAAAATCAAATCAGATTCACTGTGCTGTGTGAACAAGGCCTCTATCTTTGCTGTGCTTTCGTAAAACTCAGTTTCCAACACCCCATGAACAGCACAGTGTCTTAACACTGCTTTGCTTGCTGTCTAATTCCCAGGGAAGTGAGTGAATAGAGCTTGGCTTCAGAACACACAACCTGAGCATGCATAATGTGTCTGGATGTCACCCAGCTGATCTGTGAGTCATTTATAAGCTCTCACGTTCTATGCAAGTCACATGCCATGTGACTTGCATAGAACCAGACATGGAGGTTCCAGAATGTCCCTGCAGACCAGCACTAACGTCCCACCCTACACGCCATCACCTCTTCTTCTTAGCCAAGTCAAGCCCATGAGTGCATTATATCATGGTGTGACGCAGTCGTGCAGTGTGTTTTATGTCTAAACACCAGGGCGTGGGTCATTTTGTTTACAAATTCTCAGTGATGCACTAGGATCGAGCGCGACTAAGTCACCCTCTGAAAAGCCGGGCGTCTGGAAAGCAAACTTTATCATTGTTCACCGTTGCAGGTATCTGCTAATAAAAAGCTCAGCTATATACCGTTTTGTTTGAATATCAATAAAGCCACTACCTTTACTAAGTCTGCAGTGGCTCGTCTATTTCCCCATGCATAGCCAAGCAGGCACCAAAATGACAAACTCTAGTCCATAAATAATACAAAGCTAAAGTCGATAAAGTCGCCACAACATTATTTTCATATGCTGATCGGTCTGCTATATAGTGGAAGTGCTATCAAATATTTTGCCATGTTCTGTGTTTAAAACAGGCAAAAAAACAAATGATTGTAACCTAACTGGCCTTCTGCTTCCACTAAGCAGATTGGTCGTGCTGGGTATAGTTTAGGCTGATTTAGACCGGTTTGGATTGGCGGCGGCTGCTGCAACCACACTGGACGTTGAGGCCTTGACCGCACTGCCAGCAGCAGAAATGCTCCTTGTGCCAAAACTGCCCATTTGTTTCCTGATGGAAGATCTCAGAGAAGATGAGCTGCATCAAAGAGTGCGAGAAAGAAAGAAGAGGAGAAAACAGGTTAGCACTCCAAGTATTTTAAATTAGATTTCCGAAGGTATTTCACCTGCAGATGATATTATTTACCAAACCAAACAAATCATCAAATTTATCTCCCAACATCTGCATAAGCCAGACAGAGCCTGTCCGATAAGTATGAAAAATTGGAGTCAGGTGGAAAGTCACACAGCTTTGCTTACACTCATGCAAGCCCAAATATGGTGACAAGAACCTCTCAAATGAAAATATGTGCATTTATTTATTGTTGTAAAATAATATATACAGGCATATTTATCATGACATTGCAATATATTGTAACATTGCATATTCAGTGTTATGAGTGATACATATCATTATATCTGTATTTTGCCATTTGTTATTACGGATACCACTCTGGGTTAAAGTGCACAGTTTTCCCCTTGCCTCAAATGTAATTGTTCAGCTAAGACAGGTTTGGTGCCTGAAGTTTGATTCTTTAGCTTTGAACTGGAGGTATGAGGCTAATGTAGCTAAAAAGTAATTGAACTTAAACTCCACAGTTAGCAGTGTGTAAAGTGTATGCCTAAATCAACACACACTGGCCACACTGGCCCCAAACTGTACAGTAGTGTGCAAAAGTCAATGACCACTATTTTTTTCCAGTCAAAATGGCCATTAAGTCCAAGTTATCCATTTTTCAACATCAAGACAAAAAGCAGAAAAAACGTGTTTTAACAGATAATTACAATATTAATTACTAAATACAATATTAAATGATTGTTATTTGCCTTTATTGCAGCATCCATTCTTTTTGGTCCATTTGCTTTCAGTTTTTCTCAGAAATCTGCAGGGATATTTTCCACATCTCCAAAGTTGAGTCTTAGAAGTTGGTTGTATTTTCTGCTTCTCACAATTTAAGCAATTCCAAACACATCCAATGATACTGAGGTCTGGACTTTGTGGTGGTCAGTCCTCTTAGAACATCAGCAGCGTGTTTGATTTCTTCTTTTTTGTCTATTTCCTCTTCTCGGTAATAGTTTATTGACAGCTACACATCCTTTCAGGCCCATGGTGCTGAGTGGTCTTCTCACAGTGGAAGGATGGACAGAAACACCTATGGATGTTTTCAGATCTGAAGCAGCTTGATTTTCTCCTCTCTCTCTAAGATGAAAGCTTTAAGTACTGTTTATCTGAGGGGGCAGTTATGATGGTCTACCAGGTCTTTGGAGTCCCATATCTCCTCATAATTTTTTAACTTCATGACTTTATGGCTATTTACACTGGAAACTGGAATAAATAATGCTCTGACCTTTGTACAGTACAGTAAGTAATCTCAAACAGATATGGTCATGTGGTTTAAATGTACATCCTAAAGCCTGATTCATCTGTACTTTTGTCCATCCAGACATTTCTTGGCTGCTACATTTGGAATCAGGGAAAATTGTGTGCACTAAATTTTTCAACAAACTATCATTCTAAACTCTCACACAGGTACAGTAGGAAATGGGCAAATGGGCAAATATATTGTCTCACCTCGTCACAGCCTGCACAGCGCGGTCTCAGGCTCTGGCAGTAATGGCGGCCGCACAGCAGAGTGCCTTTCCTCCAGAAGTACACCAGGTCCACCAGCGCCTCGCCACACTCAGCACAGACAAAGCAGGTGGGATGCCACAGCTTGTCATAGCCCGCCCTCTCTGCATACACCACTGGACTGTCCAGTGCCGCCAACTCCCCACAACCGCTGCAGTGCTGTGGAGAACAGGAACAAACAGTCATGCTGAGAGGAAGGAGAGCAAACAGTGGAAAAGAGAGGGAGAGAGGAAGGAAGGCAAACACCTACACTCAGCTGAGGGTATAAACTACAGAACAGCAATCTGAGAAAAGCTGATACTGAACTCCAGTATAAAGTAGGGCAGGAAAACGAATTTGACATTTAAAGGAAAACGAATCACATCATAATAATCAAAACTTTATTCAGTAATAAATTATCCATGTGTGAAAACTATAAAAATATATAAACTATAAACTAGACCTAATTGATAAATTATCTGTAATGAATGGAGTAAAAATGCATCATACTTCATTGTAATGTATCGTACTGTACTGTGTTGTATCATACTGTACTGTGGTTGGTACATTCTCTGAGAAAACATATTGAGCTATAGCTTGTGGATGGCAATGTTAGCTCACGGAACTGTAAACTACTGCTCAGAAACAAATGCGGGTGGATCAGAACAAACTCCACTGTGTTGTTCTTAAGTCACAAAAATTGTACTTTTAAAATATTTAGATCAAGAAATGTACTGAATTAAGTCACCTTTCTATCATATAGAATTGAGTTATATAGTTAGTTATGAATATATATATAGCATCATCATCATCGTTAACCGCTTAGTCCATAATAACATATATATGTATGATTTACAATTTCTTGTAATGTTATCTGCTTCTTGTAAAGATTTGTCTTTTCATTTACGAGGAATTCATTTGATTATAACGTCATTTTTAAGGTCCGATGGCTTTCCCAGTTGTTACAGAATCATCTATAGCTTTGTTCATCATTCTGGACCAAGGCCTGACTGATATGAATATTTTGCGGAATGTATATTTATATTTTACACTGGCATTTTATACTTTAGTAGTTTTAATTAAACAGCTTTACTGACTGATATGATTATCAGTAAAATCAAATAAACAGTACAAAACTTACAGTCTTAATAAAAATATTGAAACACTGTTTTTCGTATGTAAAATGTTATTATTGGTTCAATATGAAGTTTTTTGATATATTTGAGATGGTTTTGTTGTTTATTTGCCATGCTGGTGCCATTCCTTAGTTCTGCCTGTATGGCTGTCATATAATTAAACGGGGAGTGACTCATATTGGATTTATATTGGGAAGTTTGTATCTTGGAGATGCCGAAACTAAAAAGGCTGCTAATTATCAGCAATGCCAATAAAATTGTGTCGTCAATATTAGCCAATATTATCCGCCAACTGATTTATCAGTCATTTGAGTTCTATTCTAGGTATGTTTACAATTCTGTTCTGTTACAGCTTCCTACAAAAAAAGAATATTAGTATCGTATTAGAATCACTTTCTATTTCTATCTGCAACAAAACTGCTTTCATATTATTTCAAAAACTCCACACATGCATACTAGATACTAGAAAACCTTATACTGCATAAGTTCTTTAAACCACAAGAAAAGACCTGTGTACTAATGATTAATGGGTTCACTTCAGCATTACTCCTTCTCCTTCTCATACCTACTTCCACCTATCTCAATATACGACCTTGAAGAAGTTACATTTCGTCCCGTTCCGAATCTCCAGAGCTGTAATCAAAGCCACATTGTCATGGCAATAACACACAGGCCCCAAACTGAGCATTCCTGTTATGATAAAACAAAAATCAAGCGCAGATGTTGCTCTTGCTCTAATTATTTTCAGATTTGCAGCTTCCCTCCTTGCCTGAGCCGAGGGGGGGGGGGCTGGAAAAGCATCGCTGATGTGAAATAGGTGAGTTTTTGTTTATGGCTTGTATGTTTATAGTTTAATTCCCAGCCCAGACATCCTGACAAACAAAATCCCAAAAGGTTGCTCTGGACCCAGACCATCCTGCAGACAGTGAAAGCCTAACAACAAATAAGAGAACCTATTAGCTACAGACGCTGAGGCGAATCTATCAGCGCAGCAAAAATATCAGTTCCAACCAGAAAAATCCATAAATCATCTCAGCGGAGTCTTTGAACAAGCATTCACTTGCTGAATGTGTTTTACGTGAAAGGGTGGCATGTAGGCTTTTGAAATCTCTGTTTTCTATTCAAGACCCTACCAGAAAGAAAGAAAGAAAGAAAGAAAAAGACACTGCTTGCGTGGTAACAGCTTGCCAAATTCTGGAAATATGAGAGTAGCAGAGCGGTTTTACAGACAGAAACCCCCCTTTACACCGCAAGAGACCGAGCAAGGACAAATTAGGGTGAAAGAACTGAACTCACACATGCATTCAACAAAGGAGATCTTTGTAAAAGGAAATGTCTTCCAACTAAGGTGGGCAATATGGGAAAAATATCACTTTTTCATGCCACACAATATCAGGATATTTAATTTTTCTGAGGTTTGCAAACAAGTCAGAATAACAAACCAGCAAAATAATAGTGCCATGGCCTTTAGGTATAATACTTTTATACTTTGCATGCAAAAATAAACTTTTTAAGAAAGAATAGGGGAAAATAAATTTAGAAAACCAATTAAAAATAGTATAAATTTATAAAATAAGATCATGACATAATAAGCAGCTGCCTATTACTGTGTTATACAGTGGTGGCTGTTGTTTACAAGCTATCTACAGTTTGTCTACATCAGCGCCTGAATAATTTGAATACTCGAATATTTGTTCACTGTGTTGGTATTGGTTTCTCTATTTCGTATTTGGAAGCTTTGACTTTCTCTAAACCATAAAAATTATAGCCTGCAATAAATTGAATCAGCAAAAACTTTAAATAGAAAAGTTACTGTTAATATACGGAAAAATGTGATAAATAAATAAATAAATAGCTGGTTTAGTTGAATGCATCATAAACAATGCCAGGCATCCATGTCAAGTCGCCTCAGAGCAGAACAAACTACATCACTTTCTCTTTCAATTAAACAGTTTTACAGCAGGATCAAACTTGACTGCTCAAACAGCAGATCTGTTTATTTGTGACAAAATGACAGCAACACGTTTTTACTGCTGGATCAGGCGCGAGTTTCTTCTGCACATCGTTAGTACAACACAGGAGTTGCTCAGGAACTAATCACATTTTAGAAAATTATTCTAAATATAGTAGTTTAAACTGCTTTTGAAAGCAGCAGTGTGTGATTTGTGTGGATCTCTGCCGTTTTTCAGTATTCTAGGAGTACTGATGAAAACCATGATGTACTCAGAAAAGTGCATCACCATAATTTATCATGATAATGATAACGTTTCACATCACTCAGGCCCACTTCCACATAGCTGGCAGTTTGCCATTTGCATGTGTTTCGAGTAACACTCAATCTACACAGGAAATAAACATTTAATTTGTGTGGAGTGTCGTAAAACTGACATGTAATCCCCTCAAGCCAAGACTCCATGTGTTGAAAATAAGTGGAAAACCAACAGGAACTCCAGCGATTGCCATCTAGACTACATCCGAAAAAAGAAAGCCAGTGAGATTTTTACAGGCCTATAAATGTGTTCCAGCAAGGCAACTTAAGAAAAGCACTAATTTACACATCAACTGTAAACCACCAGCTTGAATTCGCTCGTAAGGCTTTTAAAAGACACTCTGTTCCCTTCGTTCGCTCAGAATGAGCATGATTAATGAAGAGCTGTAAAATCCTGCTGTAAAGCTGAAATGTGCTTTGAGTACACACTTTGGGTACACACTGCTACTCTCAGCTAACGCTTTACCTAATATGAGTCCCTGATTATTTCCCTGTGTAACATCCACTTTGCTGCACTAATGGTGGTCTTACTACTCTGCAGAGGCAGTGGGCAGTAACCAGCCATGGGCCAGTTTCCTAGACTCAGATTAATCTTAAGACTGGAATTAAGGGGAATCTTAAAGAAGATAACATAAAAGAGTGTGTTATCACAAATAACATCACAGCTGTGATTGGGTTGCAGGCATAAGCTGAAGGCAAACACAGTAGATCATCACACTGTTCACTGTTCATCACCATTATTTGCGATAATGCACTACCTCGGGTGTTCTGTGTCTTTTATACACGAACAGTTCTGCAAAATAAAGAACAAAGTAAAGCAAAAAAGCCCCAAACATTCTATCAAATGTGCATAAACACCGGCAATTCCTTCTGCCTCAAATGGTATCTGTGTAAGTGTCAAGTGAGATGATCTTAAATCTAGTTGACATGTCTATTGTTTCCCATTTTAAGCCACGGGGGGAGCTGGAGCCTTTCCCAGCAGTCATTGGGTGGAAGGCAGTATACACCCTGGACAGGTCACCAGTCCATCACAGGGCAGACAGACAGACATACACACACATTCATACCTAGGGGCAATTTAGCATGTCCAATTAGCCTGACTGCATGTCTTTGGACTGTGTGAGGAAACCGGAGAACCCGGAGGAAACCCACACAGACACGGGGAGAACATGCAAACTCCACACAGAAAGGACCCTGGTCGCCCAGCTGGGGAATCGAACCCAGGCCCTTTTTTCTGTGAGGCGACAGCGCTACCTACTGCGTCTGACTAAACATGTCAAGAATGTTCTCTCAACAGGAGAAATATTGGATTTATTGACTATAAATCAGACAATTTTACTTGACAAGGTACCCTTTTTTCTATTCATAGAGCCATAAAACTGTCACAATATCAAGTTTTTCAACACTGGCCAGATTAGGCTGAATGTAGTTTTGTTCTTTAAAGGGTTTCACAGCCCGTCTTGTTTACTAAATTGTATTCTGTTCATTTCTGTTTAATCCCAGTTTGTTTACAGAAGTTATCTAATGCCTAATGTGCAAAAGGAGAAACTTAGTAATGACTACCTGCAGCATAAGTTGTTGCTTGGCAGCATAGATATACATACTTAGATGCCGCGTTGGGTCCTGCCAGGCACGTCAACGGTGCCACCCTTTTGGGGCAATCAACGTCGCTGCTGGACTGCATTCAGTACCATTACAGAGCGGCAGTTTAAGAAAGATATTGTCCAAAATTACACTATTTCAAAAATATTTCACCCAGAAAGTGGGATAGGATTATATAACAGAGGGAACGCAGCGATCCATGCTCATGATTGTGTGATGTTTAAGTGTAGATACAGCCGTGTGGTTGGTGATGCACAGAGAACCTGTTGATATGATTGTTTTTCCTCTGGTTTTACATTAAGCTTATTTCCTTTAATAGTCTATGCAGGGGATCTTAACTTTATGTAGTACTTATTTACTTACAATGATGGTTAAAGCTTTGTAGCTCAGTAAATTATAGCATTCCTTAATCCGTGTAGAGATTCATGACAGATTATAATGTTAGCACCTTTTTACACAAACCTGAAATCACCTTCTTATTTGCCAGCTTCTTGTTCGAATTTTCCTGTTCCACCTTAAATGGTGCATCTTCAGGCGCCAGAAAGTGACTGCTGCACTATTTAAGGTGGAATGGGAAAACTTTAGCTTCAAAGCCAACTTTAGCTCCATCCTTCTTACTGTGTTTTGGGGGTTTATTTTATTTTTATGTGTATTAAGATTAGAAATGATTCACACGTTGATGGATTTGCTGATATGTGTGAGATTATGTTTCTACTGGAGCGCTAAACAGTTTTAAGGACAGGTGTTGACTGAATAATTTCCTGCTGGTCTGTTATTTAGAATGATCACAGAAATAAAAGCTAATGAGAGCACTTCTCAACCAATCAGGTAGTGTCGAACAGTTGTGTGATTGCAATTTAATCCAAGACCTAATCTATGACCACAAAACTGGTCCTATATGTTCTTATATTTCCATATAGTTGTACCTTTCTGAGTATTTTTTAAATGTTAATACTTTTTGTATTCAAATATAGTTGTGAAAAATGTAACGTTCTTTTTACTCATTTTCATTTTAGCTATTCACATTGAGTTATTATAATTTCTCTGTTTGTATTTTGTTCTGTTCTGTTGGTTCAGCATCTTCATCCAGATGCTTTGCTGTTTCCTCTCATTTTGGAGGTTTAGCAATTTAGTTGAGACCAAAAGGATCCAAAAGCACCTGACAAACTTCCAGTCCTACGCTGATAGATCCTGGATGAAGTTCCACTATAGATCTATACAAAAATACCTTTTTTTGAAAATATTTTCAGTGCAAATGTTTCTTGCTAGGTTACTTTTAAACCTATTTGAGTCCCTATTCCATTCAATGACACTTTAACGTGTATATGGGTTCCTACTACCACCCCTGCTCTGAGGCTGTTTCTTTCAAAGGTAGCTATCAGCCTTCCTCCAGCAGCAAATGACCTGCTCAGCCTTAATCATGGCCTTAATCAAGCTGTTTGCTCCAAAATCAAAACAAGAGCTTTTTCCTTCAACTTAAAATGCAAGCAGCAAAGTGGCTGCAGATGTTTACTCTGAACATCAGCCTTGATAAGCAGAAGTGGATAATCAGCAAATTGCAGGTGGCTGCAAAAGACCCATGTCTGCAGTTTGAACTAATTCAAGATAGAAGGCCAATTAACTGTGATTGGTCTAGGTAGTATCCACTGTACGTTAAAGCTGCTTCTGAGAGCTCCTGCATTCTGGAGCTCCACATGGTCAGGCATATGGAGGGTTTGGCCTTGAGGTGCAAACGCAGTGTCTTGATTCGCTGCAGCCCTTCTCTGATATGCATTAGCAAACCGGTTCCTCACTGTAGCAGCTGTGATGAATGTGTCTAGCTTTGTTACATATTTGAATTCCCTGGGAAGAGTAGTACATGGCATTAATTAAGCCTAAATCACAGGGCTGAGAGGAAGCGCTGGCTGTATTTCAGGTTCTGGGGAAGTTTTTGAGATACATATCACGATACTGGTGGTTTACAATGATAGTGATGGATGGATGAAGGCAGATAAGGCAGAAGAGGGGGTTGTTAGAGAGAGATATTTCAGACAGACTGTAGGGAACTGAGCTCTAACCAACAGACAATCTTGAAGCAATTAAGAGTTTTCCAGTCTTACCAAAATATGGATCTTGCATTTTTCTACTTGGCCCACATCAAAAGGAGACAGAGAGCATGTGCGTGTGCGTGCATAAGCTGCGTGAAATACCAATTAAGTACTTGAGTATCTCTGTGTTCTTGATTAGACATCATTATGATTCTTACGTAAAAGGTTAAAATCATCAGGACACCTCAAATTTCAACACAGAAATTTCAGAATTTATTTTTAAACTATACTGAAGCAGCAGTTTGCACAGCAGTGTAATATAACAGGGGCGCACAATCATAATCGGGCATAATTTTCACTCCTAACGCGATTGGCAATCATCCGATTTATTTAAAACTTTAGCCAATCTGTGTTGCGATTTTATGAGATACATAATATGAGCCAGATAAGTAGACGGACGCTGCTTTCATTTTTAACCACTGCTACTTTTGTTGTTTAAAAGAACTTCGCATTAGGGATTTTAACCATTTTACTTATAGAATATCTGAATTTTGAAGTGACTAGTAATGAACTACCCCAACAAGAAACTATTTTATATCATGATTCATATGAAGCACCACTCTTCCATAGCAGCCCTGGGCCTTCTCTCTACAATCCACTAGCTCAGCCTGTGCTAACATAAAACTGGCAATATTCCAGTAAGTCCATGAACTTTCTTATTTTTTGTCATATAATCATAAACATTTCATTAAATAGCAGTATTTAATGTAAAAACATTCACTTTGTAAGCAGCATTTTGTCCAATGTCTGAAAATTTCCAACATAGCTTATATTATTGATGATATTTTCCAGTAAATCGGTGTCAGACAAGAACAAGTGGTATTGTGTCATCTCTAGGTGATAGCATTGTATGGACACTATAGCCTCTCGATGTTGGTCTCCCCCATGTGTCAGACAAAATTACCCTTCAGTGGAGGAGCCTGTTTCGCCTGTGAATGGCTAACAAAAGTTGCTCAAAAAATCATTTAACAGCTAATCTGACTGTGACTGTGACATGTCATGACAGACCATGACGTAAAAAAATCGTGATTTGTGCACGTCTAAAATATAGGTAACAAAAAACAACAGCCTTTTTTGGGAAGTTTTACATTTGAAAATAATCAGATAATTTTATTTTGGCCAAATAATTAGCCTATAACCACACGCACTCGAACTTACATATTGGCTCTTCTTGCTGTTCTCCTCCAGTGTTCCATTGGTGGTAGGTTCTGGGTTGGGCTGCTCTTGGGTACCCTTCTCGTTCTTCTGCTTGCCAGCGTTCTCTTTGGCTGCTCCTCCCTCTCCAGGCAGCGCCACCTCTCCCACTCCCAAAGCTTCCTCCTTATAGCTTTTCACAAACTGAGCCATGGCTTTCACTTCAGCCTCTGACAGGCTGTGGCAGTGCGAGGGGTCCTCATCGTATGCTGGAAGCTGTCTCATCAGCTGTCTGCGCCGGTACAGCGCGCCCTCCGTGCCCGCTACAGGCTGCCTTTCCTCAGGGAGAAGCTCCATGTACTGCACGGCCTGGTTGGCACAGATACACATACAAAGAGAGAGAGAGAGAGAATGAGAGGGACATAGTTAGAAAAACAAATTAACCAAAAGCTCAACTAAACAGGTACGTTTTTAGCCTAGACTTAAAGATGGAGGCTGTGTCTGAGTCCCGAACACAGACTGGTAGGTTATTCCAAAGCTGGGGGGCTTTGTATGAAAAGGCTCTCCCCCCTGACGTAACTTTATTTATTCTGGGTACTAATAATGAGCCCGCACCTTGTGATCTAAGTGGGCGTGTCGGTTGATAATAGGAAATAAGGTCACTGAGGTACTGAGGAGCAAGGCCATTCAAAGCTTTATATGTCAGTAGAAGAATTTTGTACTCAATGCGGAATTTAACTGGCAACCAGTGTAAGGTACACAAAATTGGGCTAATGTGGTCAAATTTCCTGGTTTTGCTGAGAACTCTGGCTGCAGCATTCTGGACTAACTGAAGCTTGTTAAGGTTTTGGCTGGAACAACCAGAAAGCAGAGCGTTACACTAATCTAACCTGGACGTGATGAAGGCGTGAACTAACGTTTCTGCATCCTGTAGCGACAGTGCATTTCTTAATTTAGCGATGTTACGCAGGTGGAGGAAAGCTATTCTGGTAATATTGGTAATATGCTCATCGAAGGCCAGACTGGGATCAATCGTGACACCAAGGCTTTTTACAGATGTGCCTGGTGCAATTGAGAAACTATCGAGATTAAGAGTAAACGTAGGCAGATTATCCCTAGCAGCTTTTGGACCAAGAAGAAGGACTTCGGTTTTGTCCGAATTTAGTAAAAGGAAGTTGCTTGACATCCATTCTTTAATGTCTTTTACACAGTCCTCTATCTTATTAAGTTCAGTTTTGTCCTCTGGTTTAGCTGAAATATATAATTGTGTATCATCGGCATAGCAGTGGAAACTGATGCCATGTTTTCTAATGATGGTACCTAGTGGTAGCATATATAAGGTAAATAACATGGGTCCTAAGACAGAGCCCTGTGGAACACCATACTTTACTCTTGTGAGAGCTGATGGTTCACCATTTACATTAACAAACTCAAAGCGATCACTAAGGTAAGATTTGAACCACGAAAGAGCTTTACCTGTCACTCCTACTAGTTTCTCAAGCCTGTCTAATAGAATGGAATGGTCTATTGTGTCAAATGCTGCACTAAGATCGAGTAAAACCAGTAAGGATATGTTTCCTTTGTCAGCGGATAATAAAAGATCATTTACAATTTTCACTAATGCTGTTTCGGTACTATGGTGAGGCCTGAAGCCAGACTGAAATTTTTCATATATATTACTCCTATGCAGATGAGAACATAATTGTTTTGCCACGGCTTTCTCTAAGATTTTTGATAAAAAGGGAAGATTTTTAATAGGTCTATAGTTTGATAGCTCAGAGGGGTCAAGACTAGGTTTCTTTATTAAGGGTTTAATTACACCTAATTTAAGAGATTTTGGAACATACCCGAGGCTGAGAGAAGAGTTTATTATAATTAGAAAGGGCTTAGTTATTTCTGGCAAAACATCTTTAAGTAAACCTGTAGGAATAGGATCTAGTATACAAGTTGTTGTTTTTGTAGATGAAATAATTTGGACGAGCTCTGTTTGTTGGAGTAAAGTAAAAGACTCCAGCGTCTCTGTAGTGGTTATACTGCACTCTAGATCTAGATTAGGTTTATAGGACACTGCACTGCAATGCTGCGCATTTTGAATTTTGTGCCTAATCAATTCAATTTTATTATTGAAGAAGTTCATGAAGTCAATGCTGCTGTAGGCTGATGGTATCTGGGCTTCAGTAGCTGCTTGATTATTAGTTAATTTAGAGATAGTACTGAATAGTAGCCTAGGATTATTCTTGTTATTTCCAATCAATGATGAGAGATAGGCTGAACGTGCTGACTTTAGTGCTTTTCTATAGTCTATAAGACTCTCCTTCCAGGCAGAATGGAAAACCTCAAGTTTAGTCTGACGCCATTTACGCTCTAATCACTAACAGTCTGTTTCATAGCTCGAGTATGGTCATTGTACCATGGAGCCTTTTCTGCCTTATTCTTTTACTTTTAATGGAGCCACATTATCTAAAGTGGAGCGAAAAGTGTCTTCCAAACATTTAGTCAGTATATCTAATTCACTGGGTTCAGACGGACAACTAATTAAGGACGAAAGATCTGGAAGATTTTCAATAAAGCTACTGGGTGTAGACGATGTTATAGTACGTTTAACACTATAGCGTGTGGATGAACATATATTACGACTAAAACTGATTTCATATGAGATTAAGTAGTGGTCTGACACTGCTGTGGTCTGAGGAAGGATGGCCAAATGCTTAATGTCTATACCTAAGGTCAATATTAAGTCTAGAGTGTGGTTACAGTAATGAGTAGGCCCCATAATATTTTGAGTGAAGCCAAAACAGTCTAAAATAGATATGAATGCCTTACTTAGCGGATCCTGTGGTTTGTCTTTGTGGATATTAAAATCTCCAACAATTATTACTTTAAAATAGTTGGATCAACTTGAAAATTTAAGACAATCTGCTGCACAGCTTTTTGGAGTTACCTCAATTTATTTTAGTCAAAAGATCTCCTGACTCGCATTTTGGTGAGCAGTACGAGCGCAATATGATTTAATATGAGCGTACTCGAAATAAAAAAATAAATATTCTTTTTATAGCCTAAAATTCCTACACTTTTTTACTCCAATCTCTGCCCAGTTCAACTGTGTTGGTGACTTAACTGATGAAAAAGCCCTAAAAAAATTAGATTAGGGGTTTAAAAAATTAGACAAAATTAAAATAACTCAAAAAGCTATGTGGCAAATTGTTTTAAGTTGACCCACATATCATTCTGTGGTCATCACCTAGTGTGGGCAGTGGCTCAGCAGCGGCTTTAGCATAACAATAAATTGTGCTTATGTAAGGGTCCTTTCAGGTCACGCATGATAGATATAAGTCACTTACAAAGATGGATGTCAATTGTCAAAGTAGAAAGGTCAGATATGAGCAAAAAATTGAGCAGTAAGACTAAATGAGGGGTGGGCAAAATGACAATATGTTTTCTGAGTACACACCTAAAAATAGTGGTTCTAGAACCATGAACACTCAAAGAACCCTTTGCATGATTAAAGGGTTCTTTGCATCATGAAGGGATACTTCAAATTAGTGGAGAATGTGCTGTAGATGGTTCTACATAGCCCCAAAAAGGGTTCCTCTATTGTTATGATGCTGTCAGGCTTGTTAGAATAGAAGAACTCTTTTCGGTGCTATAAAAACCCTTTTCAAAAAGGTGCTATATAGAACCATCTTTAGCACATTCTCCATTAATCTGAAGAACCCTTTCACAATCAAAGAACACTTTAATCATGCACAGGGTTCTTTGAGTGTTCATGGTTCTACATATAATCACTTTCTTTACTACAGAATGCTTGGAAGAACCATCATTTCTAAGTGCGTATATTGTGGATATTGTGGTCAGCAGTTAAAGAACACTGACCATCTGCATTTTCACTACAAACAGATCATAGTCAGTCCTGTTTTGAACTGCAGTGAGAGAAACACTGAATAAAAGTCATTGTATTATCATGTATTTCTAAATGCAGCTCTACTGTTTCTTTTTTGCTTATTCCAACTTATTAAACCTCAGAAAACTGAATACTGTGATGCACATTGTGTTGTCAAAATATCTTGAAGTACTGTGTTGTTATATTTTTGCCCTTACTTGTTATATGAACATACCTATAACGAACTAAAGGCAAAAGCTCTTTATAGTCTTACAAAATTAAAACCTCTGCATTACATCTGGATTTGTAAAAGACCCACATAAACAAGCAGAAATCCCCAATGAACTCTCCTAAGACTGAACTGGCCCAAACATGAAGCAAGCAGTGTCTCTTGAGCCCAGAAGTCCTAAGAGCTGCACTGTATTATTTATGCAGGATAAGCTGTTCACAAAGAGCCCTAATCTAAGAAGGTAAAGTTTCCAAAAAAAAGAAGACAGGCAATCCATTCATGCAGGAGACCCACCGGAGCTACAACAGACTTTTCCTCCTTTTCCCCGTTCTCCCTCTCCAATCCACCCAGGCACACAGCAACACTGATTCACTGTTAAACCCTCTTTATAATTGTGTTCAACACCAATGCTTTAATATAAACTTTAAGAGTCATTTAACAGCCATTATGTGACAAATAAAAATTATGCTTCTTCTGGCAGGGCTGGGATTCCGGAAAACATTCCAGTTCCTAAATGAGGAGGAGTGAGGAGGGTTAGGGGATGGGATAGCCACTGTTCTTGTCTGTCCCATCACTGTAACACTGCCCTACTGGATACACCTACAAATGAGACAAATGAGCTACTGCACACAAACCGAAAGGAGATGAGGGAGACTAGGCAGGGAAAAGCCAGAGAACTTAAAATTTCTGTAAGGTTTTCCAGAAATTTCCACATAAAATATATATCATCGCAATTTTGTCTGTCAGTTTACTTACATTTACTTTCATTTTATTCATGGGAAAGTGAAATGCACATTTAAATCAAGTATGACTTTTTTGCCACATAAATACAAACCCAATTCCAAAAAAGGGGCAGCAGGTAAAAGGCAAATAAAATGAATGGATGAATTGGAAATTCACTTGACCTTGATTTAAATTAAAACAGTATAACAACAAGATATTTTGTGTTTTCTTCTTCTGGACTTCGTTTTGGTTTTATAAATATGCACTCATCCTGAAACTGACTGCCTGCAACACATTCCAAAAAAGTTGAAACATGAGCAATATAATACTGGAAACATTGTGAAATATTCCAAAAACATCATAACAGATGATTAACAAATCATGCTTGTGTATAAAAGGAGCACTTAGGAAAGGTAGAGTCCTTTCTGAGCAAGAATGAGTCAAGGCACACAACTTTGTCAAAAAATGTGTCAACAGTTTAAGAACAGCATTTCTTAGTGAGTGAACACAAGGATTTTAGTTTCTTCCCGCTCTATG